CTAAAAAAATCATAACTTTTACGATGGACCAAGTACGAGCTTGAAAGTTTTGCAGGATACAGCAGACAATTGAGCCTAATTTAGAAATTTTTATTGGAAAAGCACAAGATCCTGATTTATTGCTGCATTTTAAATACAAGGAGCACATGTAGCCAAAAGCGCGCTTTTCATTTATAAAATTGCAACTACGAACGCAGGACAAGTTCGACCTTGAAAGTTTCGGCACAAAGCGCACACACTCTATTTTCATAATTGAGAAATTTTTGTTGTAATGGCACCAGAGCCTAACTTTTTCTGTTGTTTAAACGCGAACTTGTAAATGAAAGGTTCCAGCAAAAAGCGTGCTCTCGTTGAAAAATGTATAACTACTCATGTGGGGCAAGTACGAACGTGCACGTTTTGTACAATATATGGAACACTTCATCCTAATCATTGGGAAGGAAATTTTGATGGCAGTGGCACGAGTTGGTGATTTTTCGCCACTGTTTAACTACGGGTTTAAAAATGAACATTTTTAGCCAAAACATCGCACTCGTTGAAATATTTGTAACTGTTAATAAGGGACAAGCACAAACTGGAAAAGTTCCGCAAAATATTGCTGACATCTGAGTCTGAGAATAGAAAAAAATCAATGAAGCAGCACTGGGTGCTGATTTTTATCGGGTGTCTAAACGTGAGTCCAAAATGAAAGTTCCCAGCCAAATGCAAAAGCCATCCAAGTTTGCCTCGCAAGCTTTCATTGGACTGATGCTGAAATCTTACTTGCATACTTACTTACCTGTTTCTTGATTGTTCACCACAATCCATTCACTGGCACTAAAGGCTGTTAGAGAAAAATTGGCGCTTGGAGTAACCCAACCCCGCGGACTGGTGTCTTCGTTGAAGTCGTTACTGCTGGATCTGGTGTAGGTGATTGGAATATACCATGTGGAGTCTTCATCATCCGATCCACTGTATAAGAAACGTTCCTGAAACCATCAAAGGCTCAGTGCAACCAATTGCAGATACAATTTATGCCACCTACCTGGGACATCGTGATAATGTTATTGGCTAATTCCACATTCACCACAGGAAAGCCTCCTTTGTTGATCCAGTTATCAACCACATTGCTCAAACTGATATCGACTGGTAGGTTTGGGATGTTATTACTTGCTCCATCTTCCAGCGCCGTCCAAAGGTCTTCGGGCTCAACCGATTGGTACGCACTATTATTCAAAATGTCCCAAGAAAAATGTACAGGATTTGAACGATTGTTGTTGAATTACTTGCTGGCGATGTACAGCCTGATTCCATCCTTGAACGTTTCTCTTCCAAGGATGTGCTCGATCATTCGCAACACGCTGGCGCCTTTGTTATATGTGTAGGTGCCAAACTTTCCACTTATTTCCGACGGTGTGGACGCGTTGGATCTTAAGGCAGGCACTCCAGTGTATGCTTCAATTCCTAGAACATACTGCAGGGTTCTAACGACGAATTGTTTCTCCATTTCGAACTCTGGAACGGCCTGCCAAGCAAAACTGTTTAGCGGGATCCAATGGGACTGCGTCTACGTACGTAGTGTGTGGTGTAGTACTGGAACAAGCTGGCAAAGCCCTCATTGAGAAACGTCTCCGACCACCATCTGCAGGTGAGCAGGTTTCCAAACCACATGTGAGCTAGCTCGTGGGAGATAATTCCCGCTATGCTCTGCTTAGTGGCGCTGGTTTGCAACGTGCTATTGAACAGAAGAGTCGACTCTCTGAAAAATCGGTCATCCTAAAGTAGACAGCGATCCAGGGATTCCTGCAGCCTCACCCGTAGATAACCAAACCCCAGTTCTCCATAGCGCCACTTTTTCCTGGAACGGCCATCTGGTCCAGTTTGGACATAGCGCTAGTATAGTTGAAACTCGTGTAGCTGTTGAGGTGATAGATCACTTTCGGCGTTACTTCCAATGCCCACTGCCTGGCGTCCTCCTTGTCCAATCTGGAGCAGACTCGGTGCTGGAATTCCGAGGTGCCTGCATTTAATTCTCGATCATTAATTTGCATGCTTCGAACGAGACACCCACCTTCCAAGTCGCCCTCCGAACACGTATATCTGGATATGGTGAACGCTACCAGATAAACGGACATTCGTGGGGAGACACCAAACTGCGTCTTCACAAGCCCGTCACTGAAATGATCAGTTAACAAAATGGAGTTTCCGTTCAATAGGGCAACTTACTCAAGTGTATTGTTCGCAATGCTGGGGGTGTTGGTCCAAGCGTTCAGTTCCGCTGGATACGTGAGGTTGTATGCGAAAGTGGCTTTGTAGACAGGCTCGTCAAAGCATGGAAAAGCGTTTCGGGCACTGGTTGCCTGGAATTGGGTGGTGGCAGTATAGCGGATGGTATTTTCGTGGTCAGTGTAGGAGACTTTGTAGAATCCTCCTGAAATGTTCAAGCGGGCATTGAAAGTCTAGCTGTAGAGGAGGAAAGTGGAGGAAGCACTGAAATAGATGGACGCTTGAAGACCCGGATGAAATAGTTCGATAGCAAAATTGCCATTTGGAAAAAGGACTTTTTGAATTTGAAAGAAGAAACAAATCGGCGAAACATAGTCTGCTAACACCAAATAATAACAGAATTAGTCACATCAGTGGAGTGACAAGCCTAATAACCAGAACAAAACACATCAAAGCCTGGCTATTAGTTGAAGAATTTGTATTGAATTGAATTTGTGAAGTGTTCATCCTTTTTATCCCGAACAAATCCTTTGGATTTAGATTGTTATTAATGGAAGTGATGAGTGAGTAATGATCGCCTAATGAGTCTCCAAACGATGTTTTATCAGGTACTTACCGCCGCTTAGCAATTGGGCTGTAAAATTGATGTTCAATGTGTAGTTTTGCTCGGGAATTAAATCTGAAGCAAATTCCAGAGTCAAAATGTTGGTGACACTGCTCACATTCTTGAAAGTTGGCTCTTTGTCATCCAATCTGATCTCTTCTAGAACGATGTTACTAGCGCTGGCGTGCAGTTTAACTGTGTTGGTACTTTCAATTACCTAAAATTCATCTTGATTCATATTGGCAAATTCAACTTAAGCGACTAACGTTGAGAATATGGTGTTTTATCCTTTATTTCCAGTCAACATTTTTAATTGAAAAAATAAATTTAGACTGTCGCACAACGGACACCCACATGTAAGAGATGATTCGAATTTTATATGCTTCTAAAATCCCTAAATCTATCGGTCGGACAAAATGTTGGCACAGAAAGTTTATCTGCACACTCATCTTCTTCTTGTTCTTCCTAGAGTTCTTTTGGATTTTTAGTTCTTTCTCCAAAATTTGATTTCATAAAGCATTTTTCGATTGCTATTACTTAGCAGGGCATTAACAACTGTTGAGGGTTCTTTGGGTCTCCATCCTGTTCATGTTGTTGAGTTAACGGTTTAAGATATTCTCTTTAATTCGTCTTTAATTCTTTAATAATAGAAAAGATAGTTTTATCAAATTATCCCGGGCTTCCTAAGCAACTAAAAACATGCATCTACAAGATGTTTGTTTTTTTGTGTTTGTTTTTGATTAAACAAATGAACGGATTTTAATTTAGTTGGTCTCATTCTGTACGTATTTTGATACTTAACAAAAACGTATTAAACTTTTCTTGAAGAGCAGCACCGGTTCAAAAGCTATGAGCAAAATACTGTTTTTCGCACACATAAAGTTGCCCCGATCGCTCGAAAACTATTATCCCAATATTATCACACGCTTAAGGTTTGCAGTGTAACTTTAGAGCCTTAACAGTGACTTTATCTCCGGTAACTATGTCCACTTGTGTAGACTTTTTCCTGATTTTCACAAAACGAGACGAAATTACGAGCAAGTCCACTTGGAAAGCGGCAGTTAGAAAACCTAACTTAAAGATGGTGTTTTCCATGTCCTCATATGGAGCCGTTGTTCAAAAGTGTCCGCTTGCAGAACTTTCACTACTTACAATGTTTTTCTTGATATATTTTCTGCTTACCTGAAACGTTATGGCTACGGATCCATTGTAATTGCTTGATGTTTCCGTAAATGATTCCGCAGGAATCACCAAGTCGATGTCGTAGTGATACAGTATATAGTTATAAGGTAGGCGATAGTCTTCATCGTCCGCTACTGAACTGCAGACGAAAGCAACCAAGCAAACCAAAAGGATTTTGGAAAAATGCATGTTTGCTGCAAAAGAGGTGATGGTAAGTATTTATTAAGATCTACAATATTTTTTGTTATCTAACGACTCTATGGCAGGATTAGTGAAGATTAATCGTTATTAAACTTATCAATCTATGCTAGTTAAATTAATAGTTAACTATTATTACCCCACTAATTCTAACACTTTAATATGGGCTGATGAGACCCCAATTACCACATATGGATTTCAGAATAAATCACTGTTATTAAACTGGAACAATATCAGCGATACTAAATGAAAGCGTGAAGCTTCTATAGCTTATCTTTGAAAATATTATAAAATTTCCCGGTGGCTTACACAGGGTGCTGCAATTTTCCTAGTCGAAATGATCCCAAAAATGTCTTAAAAAAATTGCTCTTTAAATCCACTTTTACGACTTGCCTTTAACGTAAACAGAAATCTGAGTTTTATCGAATTCAGTGCAACTTTCTGTGGTTGTTATTAGATATATTTTTAATTATTCTCATCCACCCTGATAAGGCAAACACACTAAACCATATTGACAATAAACGGTTTAGAGTGGCAATATTGATATTCATAAAAGTGGAATACTAATTAGCTCAATAAATTGCTTTATGGTCGGCAATGATTAGATTATCGCTAAATTTCACCCAGATTAGTTAAAGGAAATGGATATCTTATATAAGAGCATGATATTACATATTTTCCTAACTTTGAAAGACATAGAAAATCCATTTAGTACTCAAAGTAAGATGAGGATTTTTTTCGAAATGTTGAAGACGTTGAAGCATGATGATGAAGTAGCAATCAACTGGAACAAATTTGCTGATAATAGAGATACCGAATACTATTGAAATTGGGGTAAAGAAATGGATTAATTGTTCAAGATGCAAATTAGTGCAGCCATTGGAATAGTATTTTTGCAGGATACGCGCTACTCACAAGGAAACTGCTTGATGCAAAAACCATAAAAGAAACCCGAAGAGAACCTCGAAGTTTGTGAAAAACTGCGAGAAATAATGAGGTCCTAGTAGCAATAAACTGCTTCAGAGTGACTAAAATAGGAGTAAAGATGATGAGAAAGAAGAAGTGGAAAATCTACGATTTTCGGTTCCAAAACATAAACTCTATCCGTTGATGCAAATCGCGCCTTGATACAAAAGGAAAAGGTGAGATTGAAAAAACCTATCAAGAAACCCAAGTGTGTAGCTCTACCGCTGATTCTGGAAATTTGCAGAAATGTAACCAAAGGAACAGCGAAATTTTCACTAAGGTAAATGTTACTTACCACATGCACTGTACCACACTGTAAAAACCTCCTTTGGTTACTCCTCATCTTATAAAGACACTTATCTAATCGAAAGTAAATCGTTTTTCAGGATTTACCAATCTTATTAGGGAATTAAGACCGAATGAGCGTTTTATTATATTCTATTAAATGAACCATATTTTTAAGCAAGTCTCGGACGGCCTCATTTGGTCGTACGTTTCAAGAATTGCATTCTTTACCCCTCAGATTTTAATTACAGTTTTTATGCCTATTTGAGCCTTTGGACTATGGAAGTTTTGAGTACCTACGTTCTAATCCCTTTGTTTTTTTTTGTGTCTAAAAAAATCCCACTAGATTGATTGACTTGTTACTCATTCTGTGTCAGATAATTTTGGCGTAAATATCTGGGATTTAAAAAAAATACCAAAAGTAGACTAATGCAAACATTGGACCCTGACTCTGATAGCAAATTAGTATTTGTTGGTTTTTATAATCCGTTTATTATTATTTTGTGTAGGTTCATTCATCTAGGTTTGTAAACGACGCGATAATGAGCTTAGAAATTCTTCTGGTTAGAAAAAGTTGGCGAAACAAGGTTTCATGGTTTACTCGGTCAAAGGCTTTGGGTATATCCATTATTATCGTTTCAATGTGTTTCTGATGATACGACTCGAAAAGTTAACTATCTGATTAGCTGCAGAATGGGCGGGTTTTGATGGCAGAGTCGTTTCCTTTTCTGAGAGAAATGGTTGAATTTGAGACGTTTTAATTGAGTTGAAAATTGTTCAAGCCCTAATCCCTTCAGTGCCTCATCCTTTGCTATTATTGAAATTCCAGAAGGCATTTTAAATCTCGCTTGATTGCTTAATGTAAAATGTTTAAACACCCAATGTCTCTACCAATCAATCAAACTATTAATATTTAAATAATGAATTTTAATAATAATTTTTCTAACAAGTGAGGCGAACTAAAGAAACTAACATTAAACTCAGCAACCCAATGCTTCTCAAACTAACAGCAGCGTCTGTTTGGGCTGTTGTCGTTGTAGTGGATTGAGTAGTAGATGCAGTTGCTGCGGTTGTAGTTGTAGCAGCTGCAGATGAAGTAGTTGTAGTGGCATCTTCTGCTGTTGTTGTAGAGGATTGAGTAGTAGCTGCAGCTGTAGTTGTCGTTGTAGCAGCTTCAGTTGTCGTTGTACTAGCAGTACCGGTGGTGCTGGCGTTGTCTTCGTCTTCAGTTAGCCCAAAATAGCTATTCAGGTACGATCGGTGTATAACTACAACTGCTTGGTTGCGCGTGTAACTCGTTCGGGCAGTGGCAGCAGCTTCAGTGATATTAGTGGGAAGATCGCTGGTTGAAGTCACAAATGCCTCCAGCTGCAATTGGATGAAAATAACCTTAATTATGCCACCAGATTACCCGGCCAGTTTTCGTGCCTTTTCGATCTGATCCTCCCTGGTAAACACTGATCCCAATCCAGTAATGATTTCCGCTGGACTCAAATTAGCTGCAGAATACCTGAAAATTTGATTTAAAAATCCGCTGGTTCTTAACAACAACAACCAACATACAAGTCGATGATTTCCTGGTAGTTGCTGATGAAATAGTCCAGGACAAAGTCCACGCCCACCTCATTGCCGCTGTAGATGGTGGAAAACACCGATGTGTAGAGGGACGAAGTTATCACTTCGTCGCTGTTGAAAAGTCGGGCTACAAACCTGGAAAAAGCCCACAAAAAATCATGAGAAAGTCCCAATTGGAAACTTTAAAACTCACGCATTGAGGACAGTTGTATTAGTGGCGCAGCCCAAAGCTGACCAAATCCGCGAAGAATCATCGGACACTGAACTGTTCTGGTACTGTTCAAACAGGAAATTCCAGTCTTCCGTTGGACTTTCACTGTGTCTTATTGCGTTGCAATAAACCAGAGCTCGCGTGTTAATGTTGGGTCTGTAGAAGTATAAATACAAGGTTTTCAAGACTCATTGAAGTTCACTATTTTTTTTATAAGATAGTGGCTTTTGCCCGTGTAGCATGCGCGTATGAAAAAGTCGTGAATTTTAATGAGAGAAAGGTGGTTGACGATCGAATTTTCGAAAAAATCACTAAAAGGACTGGGGTACATCAGCGTAAATATAAGCTGAGCATATTGTCAGCCGAGCAAGCGAAGGCCCGATGTTCTTGAAAATTGTCTGAGGGCATTTAGAGAGCTCAGAGAAATAGCATAGGAAATCGCAGATGCTTGTAAAAAATATAAATGTGGCAACATTGCAGCTTCAAAAATGTAGCTCGTTCAAATTATGAAAGTTACTGTAGTTTAAGGCGCAAATTAACAAAAGTGAAGCCAAAAAAACAAGATCAGTTCTCTGATCGCCATCGATGAGTGAATTTTACAATAGAATTCTCAAAGCAATGTATATTTGATAACTTCACTTCATTGCTTCCAAAAATAGGCATACTGTTAATGTTTTTTACCTTTCAAAAGTCGCTTTGTAGGTGGCAAATAGGGTTTTAGCTGCTGCTGTACAAACCGCGTTGCCATATTTGCACGCATACGTATTAACCAGCACTTGGTTTAGAGTATAAACGTGCTCGTCTTCGTTGACTGTTTCCAGAGGAACTGAGTTGGCCACCCTTTCAACCAGTGCCAGAAAATGACTCTAAAAACCAGAAAACTCAGGGCCTGATGGAAATTGCACTCTAAACTCACAGTCAAAGAGCCTCCCAGAGTGGAGGTGCTTCCAATGCGGGACAGAAGGTAATTCAAGAACGAAATTCCTGGATACCAAGTGATGTACGAATCGTCGTTAGCCAGGAATTCGCTGTTTCTGAGCACTTGATCGAAGGAAAGCAAACCGGCCCGGGCCAGCATGTACGAGTCCTGGATAATCTGAGCTCTGTTGAGAACATGAATGCCTGAAAAGTTGTTCTGTTGCAGGGCGACCGCCAGGTTTTGCCATAGAGTGGCATCGTAGTTAACTCTAAAGAAACCTGAAATCCAACATTTTAAATCGTTACCCTGTAAAGGTGAAGGTGACTGGAAAAAACCCTTTGGCTTACCAGTTTGTTGATTATTCACCACGATCCAGGCACTGGAATTGGTAAAGTCCGTAATAGTTAAATCTTCCGTTGGAGTGAGCCATCCCTTAGGGCTGGTGTCTTCATTATAATCCCCAGTCTCAGACGTGGTGTAGCTGATTGGTATATACCAAGTGGTTTTCTCGGTTTCACTCCCGCTGTAGAGGAACCGTTGCTGAAGGAATGAAAATGAATGAAAATAATCCGCATCTGCACCTCCAAACCTGCTCACCTGAGTCAGAACGAGAGTGGTGCCATTCAGGGAAACATTCACCACTGGATACCCGCCCAACTCAATCCAGTTATACATAACAGCTGATATGTTGCTGTCCACTGGTAGAGTGGATATTTGGTTTTCTGTTACCGCCTGGATGGCGTCCCACAAATCCTCAGGTTCGGCTGGTTCATATTCACTAGAATGCGATTTTTACTCTGGGCCAATTGCACCCTACCACCACATACTTGTCGGCTAAGTACTTCTGGATTCCGCTTCTGTAGTATTCTCGGCCCACTACGTGCTCGATCATCCTCAGAACAGCAGCGCCCTTGTAGTAGGAGTAGCTGGAGAATTTGTTGGATATTTCCGAAGCAGTGGAAGCATTGGATCTAAGGGCAGGCACATTCAGGGAGCCATCAGTGGTGAGAATGCTGTGCATGATTCTGATGACGAACTGGTTCACCATCTGGAAGACTGGTTGGGCCTAGAGGAAGTTTTAATTGTGAGTTTTTCTGGACTGGCATTTGTGCAGACCCGACCTCATCAGCAATGTAGTACTCAAACAGAGTCGCCAGGCCTTCGTTCAGGAAGATTTCCGACCACCACTTGCAGGTGACCAAATTTCCGAACCACTGGTGGGCCAATTCGTGGGCGATCACCGCCAAAATGCCCTGCTTGTTGGTGTTGGTCTGAACAGTGTTGTTGAAGAGCAATCCACCCTCGCTAAAAGAGGAATTAAATTAATCTGAAGCTCGGAAAAGCTCACAAAGTTCCACCTGTAGAGCACCAAGCCCCAGTTCTCCATAGCTCCAGATTTCCCGGAAACAGCTACCTGGTCCAACTTGCCCAGGCTGCTCGTGTAATTGATTCCAGTGTAATTATTAAGGCCGTCGATTATCAGAGGAGTCACTTCCAAAGCGTACGATCTTCTGGACTCTCGTTCCCGTCTGGAGCAAATGCGATGCACTGCTGTGGCGGAACCTGGGGAGGAGTGATGCAATTGGGCAATTAATTGACCTGGTGTGGGTCAAAATGTGAAAATATTGAGCAACTTACCCTCTAGAGCCCCCTCAGTGCAAGTGTACTTGGAGATCACAAACGCCACCAGATAAACCGGCATTCTTGGACTCACCTCGAATACGGTTGTCGTCAGGTTGGTGGTTCTGGAAATTCAGTTAATATTTGCCTCGCCTTAGTCAACCACTCTTTAAATATCTGTTTAACTCGGTACAGAAGACAAGCTTCAATTGCCCAGAATGTTAAAAACATTGTACGTACTGATCCGTTGAGTTGCTGGCTGCAGCTGTATTGGTAAGAGCATTCATGTCAGCTGGATATGTTAGAGTGTAGGCAAAAGTCGCTTTGTAGCGGGGCTCATCGAAGCAGGGAAAAGCATGTCTGGCATTAGTGGGCTCGAATTGAGTGGCTGCTATGTACTGAGTGTCCCCATTTTCATCGGTGTACGAGGCTTTGTACAAGGCCCCTTAAAAATGTCAATACCATCGGGTAAATACTAGAGCTACTAGAATCAACTCCTTACTTCCACTGGATGTGACCAAGCTGGAGTTAAACGTGATGGACAAATTGTAGCTTTGACCAACGATTAATGCATCCGGAAATTGCAAAGTTAGAATATTCGTCGTGCTGTTAACCGAATAGTTGTCCAGCAGATCACCATCGTCCAGCTGGATGGTCAGCAAAGTGATGTATGAAGAGCTGGCATGCAGCTTTACCTCGCTCGTGCTTACTGTCACCTAAAACTGCCTTTTACAGAGAATCCTTGAAAATTTCCATCGCTATTCCTCACTTGGAACTGGATAACTACCGATCCAGAATAGTTGGATGAGTTGGCGGTGAAGGACTCAGCAGGGATGACCAGGTTTACGTCGTAATGTTCCAGCTTGTAGTTGGGGGGTAAACGATAGGAATCATCCTGAGCAATAGTTCTGCAGACTAAAGCTATAGAAAGCAGTAGCAGGACGTTTTTTCCATTGGGCAACATCACTCAACCAGTCTAGGGTGCATTAGGTATATTTTAAAGTTTTTCGTATATGATTTAATAACGGGTAAATGTGGCTAAAATTTTCAAAATTCTTTTTTTAGCTGCTATTTGCTCAGTTTGTAAGTTCTACTAAGTAGCTATCTACTTACCGCATGCACAAAAGCACGAAAACAAGTCACTAAACCCCTGTCCTGGGATTTTATACTCCGGGTTTGCGCTAATCAATTAAGAGCTTAATCAACCAATTAAAAATTATTTTTTTACAACCTTCAATTGAAGATCGAATTTTGAATCTTCTAAATCCGTTCGGGTTGCATTCTCTGGTTTAGTGCTCAACTATAAATAGGGGCAGGAGCCGATGTATTTGATAAAAATGCCTAAGAAGATTTCTTCTGCTTAATATGGTTCTTTTGTTCTGGATATACTCGCTTTTATTCAATTTTGCGGCATAGTTTGTCGCTTTTTTATTAGTAAAAGTTCTGGTTAGCATTTATTTCGTCTGCTTCTTTTGCCTCAACGAAGCCTTTTGTTTTATTTACTGGTTCAACTAAGAAAATTTGTTTCAAAATGTTTTACGAATCGTCCTTCAAGGTTTCCACAACGGTGCTTTCTGCTGTTTTAATTTCCTTGTTTTGTAATCAATTTTCTCCAAAGAAAGAGCGGAGTTCTTCAACTTTATTGAGAATTTTTAGGGTTGATCCTATCAGTTAAACGTGATTTGCAAATTTCGATTATTGCAGCATTTTTTAGCTTCGTACCAGTAAAATAAACGCAGTTTGCTTTACTGGAAAGATCTTTTTGTTCTGGTAATTTTAAAGTTTACAAAACACTTTTTCTGGCGTTTTCCAAAGTGATTGTTTTCAACCGGAAAAAATTCCCTTTTTTAATGTAGTTCCTAATATTTAAAGCTTTAGTTTTAAGGGTTTTAAAAGCCTTCTCTGTCTTTGGCTCCGAAGTGGTTCATTCAATAAAAAGGCAAACATTTCTTTATATGAAGATTGGCATGATAATTGCTTTAGATTGAAACTATTCAATTAATTGAGCGGCGGAAAGAGCGACATTTTTGAAATGTATTGTGGATGCCTCAGCACTAATCCTATCGGTTTAGCAGGATTTACAAAATGCATTTTAAGCTTTTCAGAAATTTTCAAAGTAACACAGGTTAGTTTAAGTACTGGAAGAGTCTTTTGGCCCTGGAAAGGTAACGGAAAAAAACACTGCTGCAAACTAAAATCGTCCAAGACTTTGAAAGCTTAAAAGGATTGAATTATAAAAGACAATAGTGTGAAAAATAGCGAACAATGCAAACAGACTCAAGGACTTCAATAGAACTGATAACCTGGATACTGCACATCTAACGCCTAGAATGCATGGAACAATAAATTATAATTTAGGCAGCTTATTTTCGCATCAAACTCTTACTGTGTGAGTCATAGTTTCTATGTATGACCACCTGCAAAGCCATTGATTTGCTGTTGAAATTTCCAGACTGTTACTGATTAGGTTTTATGATTATATTTGGGGCAATAACTTATTTTAGTGATAGAAACTGATAAAAAAATAACAATTTACAATCGCGGATTGCCATACAATTGAATCATCGAAATTTTCATTTAAAGGCTCAAAATTCCATTGTACTTAGACCAAAAGAACTATTTCTTCCGATTGTTTTCATTACTGGTGTCGCTTTTATTTATTTATGTAACAAATGGAAACCGAACAACCAACCATCCGATTTCCGAGCAAATGAAGTCATGAGCCATCAATCATTTTTCTGAGCAGATTTCCTAAGTCCGCTTTATTAGCTAAAACCCGTCAAGATTAGTGGCTTTTACGATAGTCTAAAGTTTTTACACGCAAGTCAGCGTTATTTGTTTTAAATCATTTGTAATCTCCAAGGAAGTTATTTATAAAATTTATATTATACACGAGTAGTTTCGTTGGAAATAATAATGCTCAAACGTTGAGGAAAACAGTTATTTATTTGAAAAACTAACAAGGCACAGTTTATAAAAATCAGTTGGGGCTAAGAGCGAAAGCGCAAAATCTAGCAAACATTCTTCTTTTAGCTCTTTTTACTTCGGTTCGCTTCCCGTTACCCAAAATTATACTTATTTAAAAAAACGTAAAAAATCAATAGTTTCTCCATCAAGCTGCAAATTAGATGCCCTCGTATGTAGTTAGCCAATATTACAGTTTCGTGATAACCAAGCCGAGTAGCAACAAGCTCAGCGATAGGCAAAACTGATAAGCTGAAGAATCAGTCGTGCTAGTGGATTCTGTAGTTGTGGTGGTGGTAGTAGTAGTAGGAGTAGTAGTGGGACCAGTAGTAGTAGTAGTAGTATCAAGCCCATAGTATGAACTGAGACTGCTCTGGTACGTGCTGAGCCACTGTAGGTTGCTCTGAGCAGTACTCAGAGCATCAGCGGCAGACTGCACCATGGTCCCATTCACCACGGAGCTATTGGCGAATGTTTGAAGCTGAAAATTTCAGAAAATGTGCCTTTTTTGTTCCAGAATCCATTGGGTAACTACCTTGGCTATTTGGGCTTCGGTTGTGATTTGTTCAGCAATTGCCTTGATGATGCGACCAGCCCCATTCACTCTAGTGTCACTGTAAACACCCTCAATGTACACGAAAGCAAACCTACCGAAAAATACCATACCGTACTAGAATAGCGTCATAATTGCTGATGTAGAAATCCAAAGCCACATCCACTCCCAAACTGCTGCCGGAGTAAACTGCCGAGAAAACTGAGGCGTAGTCTTGCGATCTGATGCCACTATCATCCGTCAACGTTTTACTCAAATACCTACAAGCTTATTTGTAGAGTGACCGTTCGAAGACACTGCAATAAAGCTTACTCAGTGAGGATAGTTTCATTGCTGGGACATCCCAGCGCCGCCAAGATTGTTACTTGTTCAGTGGACAATGAGGTGTTCAGGAACTTATTCCAGAGGAAACTCCAGTCGGTTGCAATGTCCGAACTGTTCTTCAAGCCATAACAATAGGCGATGGATCTGAGGTTTTTGTCGGGTCTGAAAGTTCAGTTCAAGTTTGGCACTGGTGATCAAATATTTCATTATTGGGATGACTAAATATTTCCCGAAGAAAACTGTAGATACATACAGTGTGGGTAGTTGATTGTGTAAATAAAATTGGTTAAAAAATAATAGCAATTACAAGAAAAGTTACCGAACCCGAGCGTACAGGAACTAAAAATGTAGATAAGTTCTATATTGTTGAGGCGGATTCATTTTTTACAAACTTC